GTCAATAATTAATTAAAAAATACAGTAGCTTTATAATTACTTATAACTTACCGAATTTGATGAACGACATCTTTTATTGGAAAGATGAGCTTGATGAGCTTTCATCATCGCTACTGCCTGAAGCACCAACGTCAATAATGAATGGCTCGACTTGTTCCTCTAAAATATTGTCCAGTTCCCACATTCTCTTTTCAACTTTGTCTTTCACGTGCTTAATACAGTTTTCCCATTTTTGCGCTGTTATTAATTCTAGTGCTTCTTTGAAAAGTCCTTTGAGGTCACAAAATTTAAAAGTTGTATTGTGCTTAGCTATATAATTTTTAACCTCTGCCCATATGAGCTCAATGGGATTGAGCTTGCAATGGTATGGAGGTAAACGGAGCACAGTTTTATTTTGACTTGCTGCCATTTCGTCAATGGCGTATTTTTGATATTCCGCCTTGTGATCCTTGACAATTCTTAATAATTGTACTTTCAGCATTGCTTCTTCAAAGTTGATATTTTTCGAGCGGAGCCAATTTTGAACATCAACTTTCCTTGAAGCCGTTGTTGGGACCTTCTCCATTCTTCGAGAATGATAAGGCGCATTATCCAACACAGTTACTGCGTTTTCCTCTAAGTTCGGCAAAATTTTTGAAAACCACTGTTCAAACGACTCGCCATTCATTTCCTCGTGGTAATCTTCAGTTTTCTTAGACTCAAAGCACCACAGACCGTCAACAACAAATCCATCCTCACTGCCAATATGGCAGGTAATGAGCCTTTTCCCTTTACCTGGAAATCGAAGTACTAGCTGGTGTAGATTTATTTCAATAAGCGAACCTTTTTCAAATGTTTTCATCACATTCAGCGAAAAAACATTGAGACATGAGTATCAGATTGCTATAATTGGGATTATTTAGTCATATTGAAAGAAAGAATATTGAACTTCGTATGATTACTCAGCGCTTCACAATTTAATTTAAAGTTATAAACCTTTAAAAAATGAATGATCAGGAACCTGAAATACGCGCAAATATTAATATTAACAAATTATAACTTCATAAAGCTTAAAGTATGAATTAAAATGATTAGAAATATTAGGAACGGTACACAATATAAAACTTAGTAACTTTTTTTAAGCTTATAATATTCGACATATTTTAAGATTATATTAAAAAATTATTGAAATATCGAAAACACATAAAAACATGGCTTAAAAAAGTTCTAACAAAAGAAAATGACAATAAAACATCCACGCATTTTATCGAAAGTTATAAAAGTTTTGTTACTTGTAATATGTTTTATCTGCCCCCTGGAATTAATGTTTAGAACCTTGTTCCCAAGGTTTGAAAAACATCCGATTGTTGTCTATTACTCGTATTTACCTGCTGGATTTTTTAATCCGGTGGACAGTCCATCTAGAAAGGCCCTCCTGGATGAAGTTACAGAATCATCAACCCATACTTTACTTGTAGTGTGTCCTGCGTTTACCCACGTTTCATCAAGGTAATAAATCTTCCTGTTTTGATTTCTATATTTCCCAATTTTTGTTAAATAATCCCTCCTCCATAGCACAATTTCTTCTCTATCCAGTAGTAAACTATTATGACCCCGTTTTTTCCATTTGCAATTTAAATGCTTCAGTAACGCATGGAAAGTTGATCGTTTGAAATTTGGCAACGTTGTATCTCCATTTACCTCCTGCAGTACTTTATCTATAGTAGGCATTTCATTCCTAAAGAAGAATTCATGCACTTTCCTCCTAATCGCATGCTTATCAGCTTCATCCAATGATTTAACAATACTTTTGTGATGTTTACTGGTCATTGGCTCAGAAAAGGTGTGATTTTTTTTGTATTGTCTTAACACATTAAACACTGATGCGCGACACACCCCAACTTTGTGAGAAACCTTCACAATTTCTTTGATGGTTGATGCCTCGTTCTCCTCGCGCTCGATCTTATGTAAATTCAAAATGACCTCTTTCATTTCTGCACTCAGGTGTCTTTTTTTAGAGCGTTTCCTAGGTGGACTACAGGAGTTTACAACTTCATCGGCAGTATCTGTACTACTGGGCATTTTGCGCAAGCAGTTGATAACAATAACAATCAATAACAAGGTATAACAATAACAACGACAAACTCAACAACTTAATAAGATAACAAATGAAAACGTCCAAAGAAATATCAAATTGCAATGATGCACACGACATACGTAACACGTCTGAACCTGAATGTGACTCTGCCTTGATACGACTGCTCTGCCGCTCGGCATAGGCATTTAATTGCGAATTGACCAATGAGGGCTCCTGTTTTACGTCGAGACGGCGGCGTTAGCGTGAAAATCACCCGAACCTTTTGTTTACATCCGGTCTATCTCTTATCTGAATATACTGTAAATAATTTATCATAACAGCCGATGTAGGGTTTGTGTTCATATCGATCATTGAGGTCACCAGCAAAAACCGGCCTGGAATCTTCACACGCCACAGATGGAAACGCGGTCTGCAAAAGTCTCCTGATATTTTTTGAGTAGATTGTCACAAAGGTCGGACGGTTTTTGAAAATCACAAAATCCGTAATTTTTACTCAAAAACAAATTTATTGGATTCAGGTTCACAATGAAATAGCGTTTGACACAATTAAGTGTGGAAAATTACATCAGTCATGTGGTGACCGTTTTCGGTATTCTTGAAAGTTCGCGTAGACTTTCTCCAATATCGTTCTCTCGACTTGGGCGACTTCCAGGCCAATTCACTCCTCCAACTCGTCCAGAGTTCGGGGCTTGTGCTCGTATACACGAGCCTTGAGGTGTAGGTACCCATATGAAAAAAAAATCGCAGATGGATGAATCTGGGGACCGAGGAGGCCAATGAACATCACTGGGATGATACGTATGCCCCAATTTTCACGTGACTGCGTTAGAAGGAGGGTTACGTTTTTCGCCCGTGTGTATCTATGTGGACAAGATGATTCTATTTCATGTGCTACATACACCCCAAACACCTTGGATTTTGACATATATGAGGTGTTGTTAGATTCGTCTAGTGATACTGGGTACATTGAAACTTTCTAAAATCATAATGTCGGATTTTGATCGAAATTTCAATTATTTCAGTGTGTCAGGTCAGTATGCAACCTTCAACCGACGGTTACGGTCATGCGTGTAGAGATAATCGCGTAGACGTGAATCCCTCAACAAGCACTAGAGACGTGGCTAGAGAAGTGCAAATATCAAAAACTAAAGTGTGGCAAACGCTGCGTGAAGAGGGGCTGTATCCGTTTCACGTCCAACGTGTACAAGCCCTTCAACCTAACGATTTTCCAGCAAGAGTGCGGTTTTGTGAGTGGTTGTTGCATCAACATGACAATAATCCGGAATTTTTGAAGTGCATACTGGTGACAGACGAATCTACGTTCACGCGTAATGGGGTGAATAACTTTCGCAACAGTCATGTTTGGTCAGTAGAAAATCTGCACGCTGTCCGTCGGGCACATTTTCAACAAACATTTTCGGTGAATGTTTGGGCTGGCATGGTGAACCTAGACCTAGACTTTTTACGCAACATTTTGCCTTCCTTGTTTGCCTGCGTCTGCTCGGGAGCGCATCAGCTAATTTCATTTTCTGTTGGAGCGGTATGATTTCGGGTAGAGACGTACTTAGCCCTTCTCGTCAACTGGAGAGTGAGTACTTTTTCCTTTATTTTTTTTTACGTTTCACTACACATTACCTTTGTTATTTCAAGGGTAGTTGTTTCTGAAAAGAAAAACCCCAACTTTGCGGACACCCTGTATGTATATACTAAAATTTCATAAAATCAAAATGATTTAAAACGCAAACTTCAACTTTGAAATTTGAGGTATGTTTAGATTCATCTTGAAAGCACAATTCTTTTCAGTCACTACAATCGGGACGTCTGTATTTTTCAAAAATGTTTTTGTGTAACATGGGCAGATGTTTGTGAGCGAAATTATCTGCCACTTTTAAAAAGAAGACCACATATCTCGGCTCAAGGTCAGGTCTTCAGTAACTTTCAGCAAGGGATTCAAAGGTGTCCTTGAACTCAACCTTGACCTTCAACTTCAAGGTTAATTCATGGACAACTTTATTTTTCAAATAGAAACCCATGTTCTTGATACGACAATCAAAAGAACAGAAAATTTTATGTTCAAACATAATTGAAATCAAAGGTCAGGCTGACTACTAAAGGTCAAATGGAGATCAAATGTGTGCTGCTTTAAATTTTACTGGATGAGTGACGAAAATTACTACCAAGGTCAGGACATTAGTAAATTTTAACGAGGAAGTGAACGCTTGACTTTCTCCTTCAAGGTTATTGCAAAGTCAACCTTATTTTTTTAATGTTAAACCCCCATTTTCAATGCCGACAGTCGAAAGAGCGGACATTTTTACACTCAAATACGAATTGAAGTTCAAGGTCAAATGTGTGTTGCTAGGAAAACCTCAGGATTAGTAATGAAAACAACTACCAAGGTCAGGACATTAGTGAATTTTAACGAGGAAGTGAACGCTTGACTTTCTCCTTCAAGGTTATTTCAAAGTCAACCTTATTTTTTTTAATGTTAAACCTCTATTTTCAATACGAATTTAAGTTCAAGGTCAAATGTGTGTTGCTAGAAAAACCTCACGATTAGTAATAAAAACAACTACCTAGGTCAGATTTGGTAATTTTTGACGAGGGAATGAACGGTGATCTTGAAAATAAAGTTAACCATAAATTAGCCTTGAAGGTGAATGTCAAGGTAAAGTTCAAGGTCACCGTTAAATTCCTTGCTGAAAGTTACTGAAGATCTGACCTTGAACTTTTCCAAAAATACCTTACTCGAAAAAATACAGAGCCGTTCCGTGTATGTGCTGTATATTAACAAAGTTACTGAAGATAACGTACCTTAGGTCAATTTAATAACGTACAAGCAAACTAGGCAGCCCTGTTCATACTTTCCTGTCTTCTGTTGACATTTTTGGTAATTTCTCGTTTTGTATAGGTTAAAATAGTTGACAAATCTGTCACATCACATTTCAAAATGAAAAGTCCCATACCTGTCAAAATTTCCAGATATTGTCACTACAATGACAAAAACGGCGCCTATTTTCGATTTGGTCTGATAGCTTTAGGATTTCATGAAAAGAGCTCTGAAGAAAAAGTTATCTGTTACAAATAAACTACTCAGGTAAAACTTGTAGCAAATTTTGATTCAAGGCTAATCAATGTCTTTCTAGAAGAGTATTGTCAAGATCATCAATCGAGTCACATGACTCTGTTTCTCCACACCTCCAAGAGATCAGAATGACCGAGGAGGAGGATGCGTTGAGGTACAGTAGGTACAGTGGTTTAACTTACGATTAAATTTCGTTTTGATAACCGCATATTACACATCGGCAAGAAATGCTTTACTACTGCTCTTTTCTACATTATACGAAGAATCCTTTCAGGAACGAGCTGGAAGCTTTGAAAGACCAGATATCGAATTTGAAAGCTGCAATTCTGGCTTTACAAAAAGAAACTGATCACAAAGATTTATCGATAGTGAACTTAGCGAGGGAAAAAGAAAAAATTACATTAGAATTATTGAAAACGAAACGATCTCATGCTAATCTGGCTCAACAGTTGGAAGATGAAAGGACATTTTACTTTAAAGAGAAAGAAACGTATTGTCAAGAAATGAACGAGTGTAAGAGACTGAAAAAACTCATGAGCAGTTCGACAATTAGCTCTGAGTCAAAAACGGCCGAGGATTACAAGAGAGAGATTCTGAAGATTAAGCAATCGCTTGATGATACTTTGGAAGCTAACTATAATCTTAGTATAAAATTTTTGCGCATGAAAAACACTAAAACGTGCGTGAAAACGGAGTTGAAGGCAATGCAGTTGAAACACGACAAAGTACGTTGAGATAAGAATTTTCCAAAATGTTTATTCTAGCCCTGCTTTTGTATTTCTAACGCATTTTAAGTATTCCTTATTTTTAGTTACAAAATGATTACAAAGCCCGGATTGAAGGTTTAACTGCTGAATTGAATACTATAGTCGACGAAAAATTAAATTCCACAATTTCACCCAGCAGCAAAAAATATATGCAGGTAATTTACTCTTTTTTGAAACAAATAAATATACAAATCAGGCGTTTTAAATTCGATCTTCACCATTGGGATCTAAAACCGAATTTTTCTAAAATCGTTTTAGTTGTTTCCTGACTTTATTTGTCGAGGGATTCCAAAATATTTTGCACGTTAACACCGCCACTTTTTCTCCTCTACAAGGGGGTATAATCAGATTTTCAATATAACGCTTCGTTTATTGTCTTCCAACATCAACTTTATTTTTTATTATGGACGTCAGACTGTATTTTTGCGCATATTGATTCTGATTCTAAAAATGTAAAACTTGTCACACATTGACATTGCCAAATCTAATTGTTCAAAAAACAGAATTTCCTAGCTATGCCTTGACATCAGTTATTTGTTATAATAAATAATAATTTGTACTTTTTCCTGACTTATTCACATGGACGCTACATTGGAAGTTTGTACATTTAAGTTCTACTAAGAATAAAATATTATTGCAATTAAATAGGTATGCGAAGTTTATTGTCACATAGATAAAACCACGAAATTTACAATTTTTCAAATCCGGCATACAAAACAAATGGCTATGTAATAATTTCAAGGCCTATACCTAAGAAATTGTATTTTTCAAATAAGTAAGGCGTGACAATGTCCATGTATGGCATATTATATATTTTTAATAATAATAATAATATAAAATAAATTTATTGAATACAACGACTAATCTTTTTACAAAGGTAATTTAGAAAAAAAAATACAGAATACATTGCCTAATATTGGCGCAAGTCTAGTTTAAAGTTACTCTAGTCTTCAAACAACAATACAGAATAGTCATAATAATAGTGTTAACACTAAATGGACTGAAAGTAAATTAAAATTTCAAAAAGATATTAATTAATACTGGTCACTATAAAATTTGGTTATTGGTTACTATAAAATTTGCTTGACATATTTTTTCTACTTATATACCTATATTATGAACTTCAATCTCTATTCTAAAAAAGTTTGTTCAGATTTGTATTTAGGTTCTTAGGTATATTGTATTTTGAAACTTGAAAGAGAAAGATTAAGGAACTGGTTGGGAATTGAATTAAATTGTTTAACAGCATTGTATGAGAATGATCGTTGAAACAATGCACTCCTATGAAGCGGCATATAGTCAACGCCAAACAAAGTGGCGTGCACGTCATCACGATAAAAATTCCCCGACCTAATGCCTAGGTTTCTATCACAAACAATTGCTCTATTGCAGTTCATATTAATGTGATATATAAATTGTAAAATGGTCATTACTCTCTTATTATGGTTAATAGTCATATAAACATTGTTATTAAAATATCACATAAGTTGCTTTCTGATAAATTTAGACGCATTATGCGAAATAAAATGTTTTGCAAACGCTCCAATCACTTATCGACATGTAAACGCACTAAACCGATTTCGCAGCGTTGACACATTGTCACCTTGAAACTTATTTAAACTGGGAACTGACATTTGTATTAATTTTGACACTGAATCAATTTGTGGCATTTCAAATCTTTATAAATCCTTTGGCCCCGCATACTGTAAATCAACAACTGTTTGTTTCAAAACAAAATTATTCATTTTACGAGTAGATAAAGGCAATTTTGGTATATAAAGATGCCCAAACAGTTAAATAGTCGGTGTAAGGAACTCGTGGCCTCGTTAATGCACTACTTTGAGCAAGAAAGGGACAACAACGGGCCTTTGTTGCCTTTAAATGCTGTTCAAGAGGTAGGTTACTAATAATTATATGTAATGTATATTAATAATAGTGAAATTTTATTTCATTTTTTGTAGCGTGTTGCTGCTGCTTTAAAAATTAGTTTAAGGACAGTTAGTCGTATTTCCGAGGGTGTGAAAAGTGATGCAAATTTAGAATCGCCCAAGAAAAAGCGGAGTTATATTAAACGTGTAACCAACACAGCGACATTGGATACAAGTGCCATTCGAGAAGTGATCTATAATATGTATCACAAAAGTAAGATCTTATTATAATAACTTATCAGAAATTTGCATTAATTTGTTAACTAAATTATAATGTCATATTACACATGGTTTCAGAAGAACAAGTTACGATACAAACTTTATGGTCTCGATTAAGAGATAGGGCATTATTTGATGGTAGTGCCACGTCTTTAAGGCGGTTGCTTAGAGATCTTGGATTTAAGTGGCTTAAGGACAATCCGCGACGAGGGCTCATGGAACTACCAAGTATAGCTTTGAAAAGGGTGGAATTTCTAAGGCAATAAAATCAAGCCAAGGTTGAGGCCTTATACCAGTTTGTCTTCCTCGATGAAACTTGGATATTTCAAAATGGGACCATAGGTCGCTCTTGGCAAAATGGAAACCAAAAAAGCGTGAAAGCTATTAAAACAGATGGTAAAAGGTATGTACTTTTACACAATTTGCACTATAAAATTTAAAACTAATATATTTTAGATACATTATATTACATGCTGGAAATGAAAATGGGTTTATTGAGGGTAGTGAAGCGATATTTTCTTCGAAAACAAAATTGAGCGATTACCATGGAGAGATGAACCAGGACAATTTTTTGAAATGGTTTCAACATCAGTTATTAGAAAAATTGGAGAGTCCATCTATGATTATACTGGATAACGCCCCTTATCACAGCATGATATTGAACAAAGTGCCCAACAATGCATGGACAAAAAAAAATATCCAAGACTGGTTGACAAATCAAAACATACCATTTTTAAACACAATGTTTAAAACAGAGCTATTGAGTATTGTTGCTCGGTACATAATGCTTCTTAATTATATATATTTTGGTCGACAGTTTATATTTCTTTTGTTTATTCCTATTCTTAAAATAACTGCTTTTTTAGAAACAAACCACCTAAAATATACGTGATTGATGAATTGGCGGAACAACATGGGCACAAAGTTCTTCGTCTGCCTCCTTACCATTGTATATTTAACCCTATTGAGTTAATTTGGGGCATAGCAAAAGGTTACTATAACAGACATATTGGTAGAGATGGTAACAGTGAAAAAGACTGTTTGGATATGTGGAACGAGGCTCTACAAACGGTTACCCCAGACATGTGGAAAAATAGTGTTCGACATACTGAGCAAGAAATTTTTAAATGGTATGAAAGAGAACGAATTTTTGATCGACCAGACATCGAACCTTTAATAATCAACTTTGAGAGTGATGAAGATTCATATTCAGACAGCGCTGAAGAAAGAAACTCCGACTAACTTTATTGTACAGAAAAAGCTTACACCAGTAGCTTACCTAATTTTAGAATGCATTTTTCTGTATGAATTCTGTAAAATAAATACCATGCATAAAATTTGGAGGACCCCATTTGGATTTTTATTCAGTACCTTTAAGCTATCAATTAAATATGGTAGTTTCATAGTGTCATCTGATCAATAATTGTCATACTTAATGATTATGCAAGTACAGATCTATAATTTTATTATACTATTATTTTTGTTCTCATTTGATGTTAATATTGCTTATAAACCTAGATATGTAAATAATAAATTTTATTATTTTACAAAAAGTTTGGCAACAATGTAAATTTTTCAACACACCCACCTTGATGACGTGCACGCCACTTTGTTTGGCGTTGACTATAGTTAATTTGTTTAAATATCTTACATTTATGTCATGAACAGAATGTCGGAAAATTAAGAGTTCTCTTATAGAATCAGGTGAACCTAGAGTGTTTATAATTTTTGATAAAAAACTAGAAAAATGGAGAGTGCGACGCTCATTCATTTCAAGCCATTTAATTTCTTTATACAAATGAGATATATGATCAAACCTACGCAGACCATAGATAAACCTGAGGCACGCATTTTGCACCTTCTGAATCAGACCTCTACTTGCCTGATCTAAGCAAAGCCCATAGACAAGGTCGCAATAATTGAAATTGGAAAGAATTAGGGATTCACACAATTTTTTTTAGTGATCTGTTTAGTATGTGTCAGTTATTATACAAAACTTTTAGAGAACAAAATGATTTTTGCATAAGATTTTTTAGGTGATCTTTGAATCTAAGCTGAGAATCTAAAACTATGCCGAGATTTTTTGTACTTTCAACAAAATTAAATTTTGAATTATTAGCCATTATACAGTGTGAGTCTTCATAAAGTGCACATATCAAAATCAGGGAAACTACACTCTATCTCATCGACGGATCATCAAAAAAACATGAATTTGATTTTTTATGAATATATGAATATTTTAAAATTTTTAGTAGCAGCTTCTAACCATATTGAAATAACTCGTTACAACTTTTAAACTAAATGTCCTATCATATTGGAATACATTTTGTAGTGATTGCTGGTAAAAGGACGTGCCTGAAAAGTGAAGAATTCCAGGAAAAGTAATGACATCCATTTAGAATAAAGAAAATTTTGATGAAACTGTTTTTTTCCATCATTTTTACAATAATTTCAAATTTTCTATAAATATCGTCCCTTGTACCCTACCTTTTTTTATTTGTAAGTTATTCTACATGTTATCAGCTTTATAAAAGTAAAAATTGCACGTTTATTACTCAAATGTAACAGTTTCTATGACTGTTTATAAACAAGCCCATGCGCATCGTCTTGCTAGGCACCATTGTTTGAGTGGGGAGGCGGGCCCAGTTAAAAAACAATTGAATGTTGGGCAGTTAGGCAGCTATTTGTGTTTCTCCTGCCAACTTTATCAGTTTCGTTTGCTACATATCACGCATTCGCTTTTGGGTCGCGATGCCACGTATAAGTGATTTCCCTCCGGCACACATTGCCGATATCTATTATTATTATGGAATGTACCGAGGGAGTGCTAGAGCTGCTTGCACAGCTTATCTAGCAGCATTTCCAAATCGACGCCCTGTTCCATCAGCCCGTAACTTCCAAGAAGTACATAGAAGACTGGCTAACACTGGACTTGGTTTGCCTCGAGATCGCCGCGAACCAGGTGTTATTATTCATGTTGCTATCGAAGAAGCCATTTTGGATGATTTGTTTGCTGACCCGACTACTAGTACGAGACGTTTGGCGTTACGTCATGGCGTATCCCAGAAATCAGTTTGGCGCATCTTGAGGAAAGCAGGGTTGCATCCATACCATTATCAAAGGGTGCAGCACTTGCATGAAGATGTGGATTGGCGTCCAAGGTGCGTTATGTCTACATGGATTTTAATAAAAACAAGAGACAATCCTGAATTCCCGAAAACAATTCTGTGGACAGATGAATCTCAATTCACGAGAGACGGCATCGTGAACTGTCGTAATTTACATAAGTGGTGCCCAAAAGATGAAAACCCTAGGCTGAAAAGGGCTGCAACATTTCAAGTGAAATTTTCTGTAAATGTGTGGGTCGCACTGATTGACAACTTTTTGATTGGTCCAATAATACTCCCGAGGACGGAGAGAGATTTCTGGAGCTTTTGCATATATACAAAGGGTATACAGCAGTTCCATAAACAGCGAAGCGGAACTTGAAGAAAGAGTTTTGCGTGTTGCAAACGAAATCAAGAATGATCCCGAGATGATCCGTAGGGCAACTCATCAAATTTCACTTCGCGCTACAATGTGTTTGCAGCAACGGGGTGGCCATTTTGAATATTTGATGCATTAAGCCAAAATGATTATCCTATAGACAAGTCTATTTGATTTTATTTGTTAAAGAAAATGAATGATTCATGTAGGTTAATACTGTTGTTTTATTCCTACTCTGGCGTTGAACTGAGTTCACTGCTTTTTGAAACGCTGATTTAAAAACTTGTATCTAAGTGATAAACTTGCAATTTTTCACCAGTAGGAAGCTAATAACATGTAGAATAACTTAACATTTAAAAAAGGTAGGGTAAATAGGACAATTTTTATTGAAATTTAGCAATTGTTTTAAAAATCATTGAAAAAATAGTGAGTCTCAGCATATTCCTCTTTATTTTAAATTTATAGCATTTAATTTCGTGGAAATTTTCACTTTACTGGTACGGCCTATTATTTGCAATCACTACAAAATTTATTCCAATATGATAGGACATTCAGTTTAAAAGTTGTAACGATTTATTTAAATAGGGTTAGCAGCTGACTCTAAAAATTTTAAAATATTCATAAAAAATCAATTATTGTTTTTAATTTTTTTTTTTGATAATTTTTCCGTCAATAAAATAAGATGTTGTTTCCTTGATTTTGCTATGTGCACTTTATGAAGACTCACACTGTATTGAGATTAGCTTTCAAAAACTCAGTCTCAGATTTGTTACCAAAAATCATTACATGCGGTTATTCCGGATGAAGTTTTAAGTTGTGACCTAATGAGATAAAGCTTTAAAGACGTAAGGATATCAGATGTAAAAATTGAAATTAACACGGGGCCCAATATTGATCCCTGAGGAACTCCCGATAGGATAGGCTTTGTCTGAAAATGTGTCATTTGATAGAATAGAATTGATACCTTCCTGTCAAATATAATTTTAAAAGCAAACGTGCTTCCTTATTAAAGCCATAGTTCTGAAGTTTAGCTACCAACAATTCATGATTAATGGTATCAAAAGCTTTTGAAAAGTCTAGAAGTACCAAAACTGAACTCATCTTTTTATCATTTGCTCTTAATATGTCATCTAGTACGTTTGTTAGAGCCACTGATGTACCAAAATTTTTACGAAAACCACACTGAGTACCAGGAATAATATTGTTACTCAAAGTCATAAATTTGTTCGTACTGCACTCTTTCAAATATCTTTGACAAAGCAGAAAGTATACTTATCACACGAAGTTCGTTAAAAGTTGATGGTTTAGCTATTTTTGGTAATGGTTTTCCTATGGAGATTTTCCACTTGTCGGGAAAGTAGCTTGTTTCAATGGAATAGTTTATAATATGTACGGACTACAATATTTTAACATTAAGGGCGAAATATCATCTATCCCGGTTGCATTACTTTTATGTTGTTTAAAATTTTGTTTATCTCTAATTTTTGGAATTAGAATTAAAAATTTTATTTATCTCTCCAAAAATCCAATCTAGCGTTCATTACCAGTGATGCTGGAGGACAAGAGACGAAACATCATATTGAAATTCTAATCATACCACCGCTTTGTGATGTTTCATTTTTAATGAAGATAAATTGTGGCAACACTGGAGGAGATGGGAAATCTAGTCGCAAGGAACTGTCGTCATTTACTTTGAATAATACCGACTTGATTTTTTCAGTTACTTAAGCAAAACAGCTGTTTGGTATACGAAAATCTATGTTTGCAACTAGAAGTAGATAATTTGAATCTTAAATTGGACCATATGAAACTAGAGAAGACAAGGAGTGAGACTAATAGTCGGTTAAGTTATATACATCACGATAAAGTCGACGAACATAAGCATTCGTGTAATATACCGAAAGACAGAAAAAAGGGAATAATGAACGAGGTGAGAAGTTATATTAACCGCTGAATGGATGCATAGATTTTTAGCTATCGCGTTTTATCGCTCCAGAGTCGCAAATGTATAAACTTCAGTTGATCCTCGGCAAACGTTTCCTTTGCGTGCGTTTGAATGCAAGCAATAAATCATACTTTCGTAAGGTTGTTGTTTTCGATATAATAATCGACCCGGATGTTTTGAATCGTTGGAAGTGAAAATGATTTCCTAATAACGAATCAAATCACATATACGTTTGAATTGCCATTTACTGTACGACATTTGGATCACCCCGATCGTACAATGGCGTCAAAATTATTCAAACAAATTCCCAACGTTCGCTTTTTCGCTCCGTACAAAGTTTATTTGGGATATTTTGGGCCATTTTGAGCAAAAAACGTTCTTAAGAACTTTTTTCTAAGCTTGATAGTTTTAGAAATTCAAGCCATTTAATATTTGAAAAAGTGTGAAATATGCCATTTACGCCCCGAAAAACATGGAAAAATGATAAATCTTCAGAGTTACTAAGTATTTTTCAAACATCTAGCAAAATCTCAAAGTATTTAGAATAACAATATCCCTCAAAGGACAATAATGCTGATATTCAAGAACCTTGGCAACATTGGTTTCGTTAAACAGATTACATTCATCAGAATATTATTCGTTCAGAATGACTCAAAAACCCTGCAGAAACTTTGTCCGAAGCGAAAACAAAAATTTTATTGAAATCGTTAAAAAAGTACTTAAACAATTCGCACCCCCAATTCAATATTGCAATAACTGCAGTTTCAATATTGTCATATAGCCAATACAATTATATTGCACATTTTTTACGCAATTTGTTAACCCTTCGCAAAGAAATGAATCAGAATATTTTTTCGAGAATATGCGGAGATATTTCCTGGGCTATATGTCCGTTCGAGTATATATTAACCAAGTGAACTTAGGAAGTTAATTTCACCAGAACAGAGACGGATATTTTTTATTAATCATCCGAAGAAAGTAACTACTCTTCATTCTAAAGAGAATATTTTCAGGAACCACCAGTAAAGTTGGAGAAGCAAAACCATGAGCCTCAACCTAGTTGTAGTCATCACAACGTTCCCAAGACAGAAGGACCTCTTATAAAAATCTTCGAGCGCAAACAAAAGCCTGAATTACCGGCAATCAAAATAATAGATGAGAAAAATGTGAAAAAGAAAAAACGAGTGAAGAGGAAACAAGAGGAAAAAGCGTCGAATATGGATAGCCTAGCATATTCGACATGCGAGATACCAGACGTAAAGATCAACATTGATGATAACAGTAGGAATAAAATAAAAAGTAACGGAGATTCAACAAAACTAGCATTGTTCCAAGTATCTGGCTTGCCATCGGTTGTTTCTAGTGTCTCTTTAGAGCCAAAGATGTCAAGAAGTCGCTCGTTACCAGAGTTAAAAACAAGCCTTTCACGTCAAAAATTATAGTGTATGATAACTACATTAATTTATTTTTATAACTTAAGATTCAATAAAGAGGTTCCAAGCAGAAAATACAAATCATCCAGACATTACTTGACGATTCGAATCGATAATTTTCTGTAAGATGCGCCTGAAGGTCTAAATACGGTCCGAGTAAAGATAACGTGGCCACGCAAGACAAGTATTGAAATATACTCTACTAGACTCCAGCCGTAGTGAAATTTTTCTCGAAATCGTTACACCCCCCTTGAAAAATGCAAATGAATATTGAAAAACTGCCGCTTTGACGTACTAAATGACTCTATCGTTACCCCGGGATAGACATACGCTTTGGCAGTTGACCGTATCATCCTTGTCACCTAGACTGCGGCGTTGCCAGCTCATCAAACAATTGTGCTACCTCTGCTATTTTGCTAGAGTGTTATAAAAAAAAGTTTCGAATAAAATACTGAGGGTACCAATGGAGATATATAAAATTTGAGGCGATGTTTGCCAAAAAACTATGCGACGGAATGTTAATGTCTCTGAACACTTTTGTAAATGTCCAGTTTTATAGGGTAAAACACTTTTTGAATATGGAACTTCTTCCAACAATTGAAAAAGAAACAATGTTTTATTATATAAATATTAGTATTTGATCTAAAATTACATTAATAGAAGTACGATTTTCATTTTCTCTATTTATTAGGGAAACATGTTTTTTTAGTGACTTCATTGGCACTTGGGTGAAGAAAAATCAAGTCGTTCTAGAATTCTAGCTTCATTTGTACGATCGAAAATCGCCAGCATGCCACAGTTATTAACCTAAAAAAAAATAGCATTGAAGTTAAGGTTTATACGAGGGTCATTTTTTAAGTAAGAACCGAATAGACCTCTGTACGGAGGTGTGAACGCTGCGCCGACGGTTGTCGAGAGAGTGAAGCGTGTGAGTGCTGTATCTCGCTGCGGCGAGACGGTACGGCCAGGTAGTACAGCCACGCCCCTTTCCAGCTGCCACTCCGCACGTATGCTGCCGGTCAACTTAAACATCGAGTCGCTTCGCTGCGCCGACTGTTACCGAGAGACTGAAGCGTGTGAGTGCTGTACCTCGCTGCGGCGATACGGAAGGGCCGGGTAGTACAGACACGCCCCTTTCCAGCTCCCACTCCGTATCGCCGCAGAGAGGTACAGCACTAGCAGACTAGCATGCTTCAGTCTTTCGGCGACCGTCGGCGTAGCGGAATGTCTACGCATTCACAGCTTCGTGCACAGCTCGAATTTCGTTTAACTATTTTTTTCAGTAGTGGTGTTCACTATAGGGTTCTCGATTGTCTCTCAGTGGTGCTTTGGTGTTTTGGTGTTGTGACGTGGTTGTCAAGTGTCTCCAAAATGGAAATTAGGTCTACTTAGGATATCTGTGCAGCAAACTAGGTGAGCCTTGCATGCACATCTACATGTGTGTTAGGGTTGACATCCTATGTTTTTTTTAAATAAATTGCGCACATTGCATACACTGAGAGATTAGTCATATACTGAGGTATTTGGGAAAAACTAAAATTTGGCCAAATCGTTTTTATTGTTGCCTGACTTTATTTTAAGAAATGTCAAAAACCGAATAGTCTTATTTAGGCACTACATAACGGTGTTCTTAAAAAAGTACTACCCTGTATCTAATAGCATCTTGTTCTACGACTTCAACGATGTATCACATTACATTTGTTTTTCTAGTTATAAACAAATGTTTTACATTTTATTTAAGTAGGCGTTGCAAATGCTTGATGTAAGATTGTGTGATTACTGAATTTAACCTAGTCTGATCCTGACCTTGTAATACATTAATATACAAAGAAATCTACAAAAACGTGCGCTAATCTAACGTCTTGTAGGTGCAACGATTTCGATACAAATTTAGCTACGGATAGTCTTCTAGAGTCTAATAGAGTATATTTCTATAGTTGTCTTGCGTGGCCATGTTACCTTTACTCGGGCCATAAAAATACTATTGTCGGTGGTTCGGTTATGCTCAGTTCTCAGAAACCATTTTTCTCTAGAGAAATACTATAGCTATTGTTGGCTTCGATTATCATTACCACAGTAGGCTTTGGAAAAAAATGTGCAATTTTTAAACACTGCTATACAGACTTACAATCTTCAAGAAATGAACTGTACTTTGTCAGCTACCCCCGTATAGGATGATAAAAAGAGATAAGATAAAGCTTGATTACGCTAATTGTCGGTAGGGGACGCTTCACCAACAGTCAAACGAAAAAAGACATAATTGCCATAACTAAGGTGAAAAAAAGGCGTTGCTACATGACCAGTGGAGGGATCGGAAGGTATAGTCAACGCCAAACAAAGTGGCGTGCACGTCATCAAGGTGGGTGTGTTGAAAAATTTACATTGTTGCCTAACTTTTTGTAAAATAATAAAATTTATTATTTACATATCTAGGTTTATAAGCAATATTAACCTCAAATGAGAACAAAAATAATAGTATAATAAAATTATAGATCTGTACTTGCATAATCATTAAGTATGACAATTATTGATCAGATGACACTATGAAACTACCATATTTAATTGATAGCTTAAAGGTACTGAATAAAAATCCAAATGGGGTCCTCCAAATTTTATGCATGGTATTTATTTTACAGAATTCATACAGAAAAATGCATTCTAAAATTAGGTAATCTACTGGTGTAAGCTTTTTCTGTACAATAAAGTTAGTCGGAGTTTCTTTCTTCAGCGCTGTCTGAATCTGAATCTTCATCACCCTCAAAGTTGATTATTAAAGGTTCGATGTCTGGTCGATCAAAAATTCGTTCTCTTTCATACCATTTAAAAATTTCTTGCTCAGTATGTCGAACACTATTTTTCCACATGTCTGGGGTAACCGTTTGTAGAGCCTCGTTCCACATATCCAAACAGTCTTTTTCACTGTTACCATCTCTACCAATATGTCTGTTATAGTAACCTTTTGCTATGCCCCAAATTAACTCAATAGGGTTAAATATACAATGGTAAGGAGGCAGACGAACTTTGTGCCCATGTTGTTCCGCCAATTCATCAATCACGTATATTTTAGGTGGTTTGTTTCTAAAAAAGCAGTTATTTTAAGAATAGGAATAAACAAAAGAAATATAAACTGTCGACCAAAATATATATAATTAAGAAGCATTATGTACCGAGCAACAATACTCAATAGCTCTGTTTTAAACATTGTGTTTAAAAATGGTATGTTTTGATTTGTCAACCAGTCTTGGATATTTTTTTTTGTCCATGCATTGTTGGGCACTTTGTTCAATATCATGCTGTGATAAGGGGCGTTATCCAGTATAATCATAGATGGACTCTCCAATTTTTCTAATAACTGATGTTGAAACCATTTCAAAAAATTGTCCTGGTTCATCTCTCCATGGTAATCGCTCAATTTTGTTTTCGAAGAAAATATCGCTTCACTACCCTCAATAAACCCATTTTCATTTCCAGCATGTAATATAATGTATCTAAAATATATTAGTTTTAAATTTTATAGTGCAAATTGTGTAAAAGTACATACCTTTTACCATCTGTTTTAATAGCTTTCACGCTTTTTTGGTTTCCATTTTGCCAAGAGCGACCTATGGTCCCATTTTGAAATATCCAAGTTTCATCGAGGAAGACAAACTGGTATAAGGCCTCAACCTTGGCTTGATTGTATTGCCTTAGAAATTCCACCCTTTTCAAAGCTATACTTGGTAGTTCCATGAGCCCTCGTCGCGGATTGTCCTTAAGCCACTTAAATCCAAGATCTCTAAGCAACCGCCTTAAAGACGTGGCACTACCATTAAATAATGCCCTATCTCTTAATCGAGACCATAAAGTTTGTATCGTAACTTGTTCTTCTGAAACCATGTGTAATATGACATTATAATTTAGTTAACAAATTAATGCAAATTTCTGATAAGTTATTATAATAAGATCTTACTTTTGTGATACATATTATAGATCACTTCTCGAATGGCACTTGTATCCAATGTCGCTGTGTTGGTTACACGTTTAATATAACTCCGCTTTTTCTTGGGCGATTCTAAATTTGCATCACTTTTCACACCCTCGGAAATACGACTAACTGTCCTTAAACTAATTTTTAAAGCAGCAGCAACACGCTACAAAAAATGAAATAAAATTTCACTATTATTAATATACATTACATATAATTATTAGTAACCTACCTCTTGAACAGCATTTAAAGGCAACAAAGGCCCGTTGTTGTCCCTTTCTTGCTCAAAGTAGTGCATTAACGAGGCCACGAGTTCCTTACACCGACTATTTAACTGTTTGGGCATCTTTATATACCAAAATTGCCTTTATCTACTCGTAAAATGAATAATTTTGTTTTGAAACAAACAGTTGTTGATTTACAGTATGCGGGGCCAAAGGATTTATAAAGATTTGAAATGACACAAATTGATTCAGTGTCATAATTAATACAAATGTCAGTTCCCAGTTTAAATAAGTTTCAAGGTGACAATGTGTCAACGCTGCGAAATCGGTTTAGTGCGTTTACATGTCGATAAGTGATTGGAGCGTTTGCAAAACATTTTATTTCGCATAATGCGTCTAAATTTATCAGAAAGCAACTTATGTGATATTTTAATAACAATGTTTATATGACTATTAACCATAATAAGAGAGTAATGACCATTTTACAATTTATATATCACATTAATATGAAACTGCAATAGAGCAATTATTTGTGATAGAAACCTAGGCATTAGGTCGGGGAATTTTTATCGTGATGACGTGCACGCCACTTTGTTTGGCGTTGACTATATATGCTATATATAAGAAGTGTATAGGAAACCTATACAAAATGACAATCGGCCACGCCCCCTTTTTTGACATTATCTAATTTGAGGTTATGAATCAGTGTCTACTGTATATATTTTAACTTCTGAATGTAATAAAAAAATCAATCAAACTTCCATACTTTGAAACTTTTAAAAGAATCCAAATAATTGTAAGAAAATGAATATGACCGGTCCAGTACAAAACGATGCGACTCCGGACATAACATCTACAGATGAAACGAGCTTATTAGTCATAATTTTAGACACAAATCCCGGGCAAAGGATGCTGAGGGAAACCTCTCATGTCCTCACTCACGTTGTAGAGTCGGTTATAGCTTTTGCAAATTCTCATTTGATGCAAAAGGCTCAAAATAAGTTGGCCATTATGGCGTGCCATTCTAGAACAAGGTATATAAGAGTCCTGATATGAAAGCATAGGTTTGGCTCATATGCTCAAAAATAAATTTATTTTCAGTCACTTCATTTATCCTGGACCAGGGAAACCTCAGGATATAAGACAAATAGATGGCCAGTATGAAGCTTTCACAGTAGTGGAGAAAACAACAAAACAAAATCTCACACAACTGCTAGCATCGGAAACATCTACAGTAATAACTGAATCTCTTTTAGCTGGTGCCATTGCGATGGCCTTATGTTACATAGTAAGGTTACAAAGGACCAAACCTCCAGGTGCAAAGGTACAAAGCTTCACATCACATAGAATCAAGTATCATTAGAAAATGTTACTTCAATTTTTTAAAGAAATATTAGTGTAGTTAGAAGGTCTATGGCAAACTGTTCGGTGTGCCTCATGGCTCTGTTCTAAGTCCCATTTTATTTATCACATTGATAATTACAAGTTTCACAATGCTTATTAAATCAAATGTATTCAAATAAAAATATAAGGAAACATAACCTGGCTGACAATATATCAGCATTATTAATTATTCTGGGAATGTTGTTTTCAGCTAAATTGCAGGATATTGGTGGTTACAGGCAGTGATTGCTCAGCCTCACAGTATATGAATTATATGAATGTATTTTTCACTGCCCAGAAGAAAAATATTGTGATTGACGTTTGTGCATTAGATCAACATTTGAGTTTGTTACAACAAGGCTGTGATATCACTGGAGGAATATATCTCAAAGTGCCTCAACTACAAGGTCTTCTTCAGTATCTATTGGTAATATGAGACTGTGTGTTTAGGTGAAATATTGTAATTTGTTTTTCCAGTGGGTATTTTTACCAGAACCACCCATAAGGGAGAAACTAGTTTTGCCACCACCTGTTAAAGTAGATTATAGAGCAGCATGCTTTTGTCACCGAGAATTGATAGATATTGGATATGTTTGTTCAGTATGCTTATCAAGTAAGTTACAAAAATATTTCATGAATGATATGTAATAAAATAATATACGACCTGATTCAAACTTAATTTTTTTTTGTTTCAGTATTTTGCAAGTTCAGTCCAATATGCACAACTTGTCAGTAAGTATTCATCTTTAATTATATTGTAACATTTTAATTGTTGATAACTGGAATCTAATTTAAATCTTATTTTGCAGCACTGTCTTCAAAATGCCAGCACCTTTAGCAGTAAAGCCCAAAAAGAAGAAAATTAAATTATAAGATATGTTGTGCCATTTACTACTATATTCATATAATAAACAACAATTGTAAATTTCTAATTTTTTTCAATGTTAATTCTTAATGTCAATATTTGAAGACTCATACCACCAGCCTCATATTCAGTCATCATATTAAAAGTTTCATTGTCTTATTGCAGGAAATTAAAATGAAGAATTTCCATTGAGAAACGTTGAATGTTCAAAAGAAAACCACTAATGAAAGTTTTCAAAATTTTTTGCGTATGTTTCCCTTCTTCTAAATAAGGCTTTATGGCAAGGATTTTTCCTTGGCCATATTCAAAATGAGGCATCTCAAATTACTTGAGTATTTTGGCCTATAAAGTCGAAAAAAGAATCCAAGATATTAGCGAAACCCTGAGAAGAGTTAATATACAGTTCAGTCGCATATTTGTTGAACGTCCAAATTAAGTGGTAACGTCGCTGAAAAGGTTGCTAATGTCCATAAGGATAAGGCCGACTCTGTGCAAGTGTATGATGGGTTGCCTGTCACTAAAGTATACTGTGTTGCCTATATCTCGCTTTTGAATCTTAAAAGTATGTATATACTAGTAATTTTCAAAAAATATAAATATACATTCATTTCCACATTTTCGACGTTAATATCTAACAATTTTCCATGTCTCAACTTTCAATATGAAACATTTTTCTGAACGATCTTTTTGCAAGATCTATTTTTAATTTTGTTTTAAATTAAGCCCTAGCGGGAGAGCCGCCTGGCAAATGTGAAATGTGCGCCAAGGCCCTGTGGGGGATATAAACAAACCACTTTTTACTGCATTACTCCCGTAGGGCTTAAATCAACAGCTTCTTCGTCATCAAGCATTAAAAATAGAACAGAAATAATTAGCTCATTTCAAATCACAGTTTCAAATTTTCTATCAGTCACGTGCCAGGTGCCAAATAGAAATGTCCAACATCCATGTTTTGACATTTTGTGTGTAAAAGAAGTGGCGATTGAAAAAACAAATATTTAAGAAGAATTAAAAGAAAATCCAGTGCTGATGTGTGACCCCAGTGTATAGAGGTTGCTTTCTAATTTGCCGCTATGCGACCGTGGGATAGTAATTGTTAAATAAACACAGGTAAATTGAAGCAAGTTACACCTTTCAAACATTATTTTCTATAGTTTTTCGTAATTAGTTATTTTAATTTGAATTTATATAGCATTGAGTTCGTTCTACGCAATCATAAGAATAATCTAGCTTCAAACATTAAACGAAATTTATCTTTGTTATGTATTATATTAGATAATAGATAACAGCACCATAACCTTATTTCCAGATTCTGCACCAAAATGGTTGTAAAATCGCCCCTAAAACGTACTGTTCGTATTTTATTACTAGGTGATAGTGGTGTTGGCAAAACATCCCTAATTTTATCCCTTGTAAGTGAAGAGTTCCCTGAAAATGTGCCAGCGAAAGCTGAAGAGATCACTATCCCAGCAGATGTTACCCCAGAACAGGTCCCCACAAATATTGTGGACTATTCAGCTGCTGAACAATCTGAGGCCGAGCTGAATGAACAAATCAAAAGAGCCAGTGTGGTGTGCATTGTTTATGCTGTAGATGATGATGACTCGATTGATAGAATCACCTCACATTGGATGCCATTGATAAGGCAGAATCACCCAGACACTCCTTGTCCAGTAGTGTTAGTGGGAAATAAGATCGATCTCGTGGATTACTCTACTATTGATGTAAGCTGCTAACCATTATGAAACATATTAATTGTTATATATTTAATAATAAGAATTTTTTTATTCAATATTTTAAAAAACATGTCATATTTGTTTTACATTTACATGCACATAATCACTTTGCCAAAGGTTAAGATGCTATAGGACCTTGAAAAGGCTGAAATATTGTAGTAGTTAACTTTGTAGGTCCATAATAAATAAACCTTTTTAGAAAACTCTTTTAACATAAAACGTGTCATAGTTTTATTAGATTGCACACAAATCTTCATGCATGCACTTACTCTATTTTTTCTGAATTGTTTTTTTTTCAAAAGCTGGAATATCAAATAAAAGTTTTGTTTTGTATACATTACTTTGAAAGATTTTTAGAGTGATTTCTCGGTGCTGAGAATTTCTATATCTTGTGTTATCAAATATAATTTGTTTCTGGAGTGTTATTCTGATTTTTATTAAATGCTTATTGCAGGGCATTTTTGAAATCATGGAAGAATATTCAGAGATTGAAACATGTATTGAATGTTCAGCAAAGACCTTGAAGAACATATCTGAAATGTTCTATTATGCCCAGAAAGCTGTATTACATCCAACTGCTCCTATATACTCTGTGGAAAAGGCAGATGTGAGTATTTTTAAACCTTGGCTATATTTTTTTATTGTGTTTACTGATTACTGCGCAATTTGCTAAAAACTTATAGAATTTAAGAGTATATTACTGAGAATGAACTTGACACTGTTTGTTTTTCCTCAGAGTTTTTCTAGAAAAAAATATTTATGATTTACAAAATATTTTATGAAATTGACCCTTGATGCATGTAATAAGCTATTCTCTAAGAACATACTGCATTGAGACATCCACATGCAGTTCCATCTCCACAGTCATATCACCTTGTAGGATCACAGAAATTCCCTTAGAAATAATTCCTTGAGAAGATTCTTTTTTATTCTTAAACTTTATACCAGTCTTCCAGCATCTTCCAGGGATGGGTCAGCCCACAACCTCTTTTTTAATTAGATAAAATTTGTAAATAAATAAATATACTTTTTTGTCTAAAAAATTACATCCTTAATGACATTTTGTATAATGTGGTTTACATATTTGAAAGTTTTTGAGGTATCTGAGGAATATCTTTAAATAGTTTATTCTTTTGATAGCATTTACATTTTCACACAATAAGAAATTATTGAGTCTTTCACAAGTGTTGCTTTAGTTACTACAAACTTAAAGTCTTGTTTTTGTCTATTATTGTACATTATATTTAATGCTCCAAATTTATATATTTATTTTTAAATAAGACTTTCTGTTTCCAAAATTAACAATCATACAACTGTTTTTATTATGAGATTTAAAAATAAAGGCCTGCATTTAGCTTCAGAATTGCTTTTAGTTATATATCTAACAGGTCTTTTATGTAGAATAACATATTTATAAACAATTTTGGGAGTAGACACTTGAAAGGGGAATGCTATGTATCTCAATCTACTTTCAAATAAGGCTAAATAACCGCATAAGGCTGTACTTTTCCCTATGCTGAAGCTAATTGATCTTATAATAAAGGAAATATTTGCTAGTTGAGTAGCCAGTTGGTATACATGATTATTAAAATCTAATTTATGATCAAGGGTCATTCCTAAAAACTTGATTGTGTGTTAACTCACTATTTAAGTTTATAAAATCAAGAGAGCATTTAAATTTCATAAATTTTGACTTATTAACATTAACAGTTGAGTACTTTTTCACAACATTTTATCTCTAAAATCTCTATCTGAGGCAACTAACTGAGAGGTGGTAATGTTGACTCCACAAAATGGTACTCAACATAACTCTTGTAAGCATATAATTGGGTATCTAACAACTGAGTGAAACCTTGATGAAGTCTACAAACCAGGTAGCATGATTCGTAAATGTTGACATTTGTAGCTGACAGAAGCTTGCAAGAAGGCCCTGGTCCGCATCTTCAAAATATGTGACGTCGATAATGATGGCCTTCTGAACGACATAGAGCTGAACAACTTCCAAAGCAGGTGTTTCAACGCTCCACTCCAACCGCAAGTATTGGACGACGTCAAAGCCGTGCTGAGGAAGAATTTGGACGATGGAGTGTGTCAGAATTGCGTCACTCTGAAAGGGTTCCTTTACTTGCATAGTCTTTTCATACAGAGGGGGAGAAATGAGACCACTTGGACGGTACTCAGAAAGTTCGGGTACAACGATAATTTGAATATGTCTAAGGATTATCTATTTCCTAGGTGAGTTGTATTTTATATAGGAATATTTATTCATAGGTTCTGGTTGCTAATATGTGCACACTTCACAGTGACATTTTGCTATGTGCGAACTCGGGACTCGGGGCAAGCAGCTTTTGATGGAAAGACGATTTTAGACTGTAGTTTTTATTTGTGGATACGCCGATGATTATACCAACGTAAAAAACGTGATTTTTAGCCAAGAAGTTACTGATTTTTTTATGAGACCCCACAATATCTCTATCAAGCTTTGCAATCCTACTTGATGCCCTTTTTCCAGTTTAAAAGTACCGTCGGGTTCAACGACAGAATTATCACATAAGGGTCATCATTTTCTGACGCATCTGTTTGACCGATTTGACAAGGATCACGATCGTGCCCTATCACCTGCAGAATTTGAAGAGATGTTCTCCACATGTCCCACTCCCCCTTGGGGAGCCGACGTAGGGGCGATGGTCCCTACTAACGAGAAGGGTTGGATCACATATCAAGGGTATGTATTTTATGGCTATGGATTTCCAAAAAGATAAAGTGTGCTAAACGAGTAAAACCAGCAACATCACAAACAACATTAAAAGCAAGTATAGTCTCCATAATTGATGAAGTCTACCTGTTTTCACCAACAATACCTGATTATTATTATTACGTGGGTGATCAATCAACTTAATTTGAAACCTATTTTATTCCCTGCGCCACGGACGAGGATGTACTGTAACCGCAAATATTTCGAAAATGATATTTGTTGGATATTATATCGTATGCACATCGTGAAAAAGCATGTCTGGCCCATCTATTTGGAAAGTACTGTTTGGGTTTTGATGAAATTTTCAGACCGATAAAGAAACGGCTTTGCTGTTTTTGAAAATCGATCCAGTGGCTGCGGAGCTTAGGGCAAAAAAAGAAAAGGAATAAAATCGCTGAAACCTCGTTTTTTGCGGTTTTGCAGGCTCCTGGTCATTTTCTGAAAAAAAATTGGGAAAGTCAAAAATTGGGGGTTGGGCACTGCCCAGATCTTTTATGCATCTTCTTAAGGCACATCTCCAATTTAAGAATGTCATTTTTACTTATGCATGGAAAAACTGCAAGTCTGTATATTATCGCCGATTTGACTTCTACAGAAGAAGACTTGGGTTATCACATTTAATTTTTTACAAACTTAGAATGTGATTTTTCAGGTACATGTGTCAATGGGCGTTGATGACATTAGTTGATCTACCAAGAACCTTTGAATACTTGGCGTACCTAGGATACAATGTATATGAAAATGAAAGTCAAACCACAGCTGTGCAAGGTGAGTTGCCAAATTTTTCTAAGATACGTTTAAGAAACATTGGCATTTTGATTTCAGTTACAAGAGAGAAGAAACTAGATCTGGCTAAGAAGCAGTCAAGCAGGAATGTGTATCAGTGCCATGTGATTGGACCATCAAGTTCTGGAAAGTCTACTTTGTGTAGGAGTTTCATCAAAACTCAACTAGACGTAAGCTTCTTTTGTATATGTTGTTTATTATTGATCAGTTTTTACCATTGTGACATATGATATATGGAAATCAGATAAGGACTAGGCTTACTGCTAGCTGTTTAAAATGATGGGGAAACAATCTATGTAGGGATGTTTGGAGAAGTAAAAAAAAATCTATGAATGTCTATACTCTAGGCGCTGAAGAAAGAAACTAAACCCAAACAAATACACGCATATTGCTCGTGAGTGAGTGTTTAGGCGTAGGAGACATTACAGGACCGCATCAAGATATTATGGGTAGTCATCAAAAATTTCATACAAGATAATTATTATCTTTTACAGTAAATTTCAGTTAGATATTCACAAATGAGTTAACTACACTTATTAGTTATTAGTGAGTAAGCTGCGCGCACTCATTCAGAAGAGGAACTTGAATCTTCTGAATCGTTTAAATGAATTATTAGAGGTTCAATTTGGGTATCGATGACATTGTCCAAATCCCACATTTTGACCTCAACCTTCTCCCGAACGTGGCGGATACAGTTTTTCCATTCCTCTGCCGTAACTCTATTGACTGCGATGTGAAAGAGATTTTTAACATCAGAAAATTTATAAGTATTATTATTCGACGCCACGTATTGCTTTATGTTGGCCCAAATCAGCTCAATAGGGTTCAGCTCACAATGGTAGGGTGGCAGTCTCAAGACAGTTTTATTTTGTTTTTTGGCCATTTCGTCGATCATTTTAAAATCGTATTTGTATTTATGTCTATTGACTATACTTATCAATTCACCCTTGACCATTGTTTCATCAAAATCGATCTGTTTTGAGGCCAGCCATTGTTGTATGTTTGCTTTTTTAGTTGCCATTGTGGGAATTTTTTCTATTTTTCTAGAATGGTACGGGGCATTATTCAGTACAATAACAGCGTTATTCTTCAGTTTTAGTAACATTTTGGAGAACCAATTTTCAAAGGAATTGCCGTCCATCTCCTCATGATAGTCCCCTGTCTTTTTTGATTCAAAGGCCCACAGTGCTTCGGGAACAAAGCCGTCTTCACTACCTACGTGACAAATGATCAGCCTTTTGCCTTTTCCTGGAAATAAATTATTCCTTACACTATGGATTGATTAAATTTGAAGGAATGAGGCAATTGAGTTCATTTAGCTGAATTTAAGAGTCACGGAATGCTGATCAAAAACTGAAAAACGTAGAAAATTGAAGTTTGCAACTTCTCAAAACCCATTCAAAGCAAATTGACTGCACCCAAAAATGATAATAAATTTCAAAATAACGCTTAAAAGAGGGTCGAAGTTTTTTCCTAATGACTACACTGCGAATGCACCATTTTTGGAGAATATCACACATTATCTGCTATCACAGCATATTATTTGCCCGAATTTATCAAAATTAAATTGCCGGATAGATGAAGGAGCTTACCTGCAGGATTTTTCAATCCAGCCGAAAGACCGTCTAGAAAAGCCTGCCTTGATGATGTTACTAATTTGTCGACCCAAACTTTCGCTTGAGTATGTCCAGCATTCACCCACGTTTCGTCCAAATAGTAAATTTTTCTTTTTTCATCGCGAAACTTCCGAATCTTCCTAAGGTATTCCCTTCTCCACACAACAATTTCTTCTTTCTCTATTAACATACTGTTTCTTCCCCGTTTCAAGAATCGAAAATTAAGTTCCTTCAAAAGTTTTCGGAATGTGGTTCTTTTAAATGATGGAAGATCCTCATCAGCATTAACTAATCTTAATATCTTATCTACTGTAGGTATCTCATTTCGGAAGAAAAAATTATGCACTTTCCTCCTGATGGCAGTTCTGTCAAAGTCATCTACTCCGTCCGTTATCCTTTTTCTTGTAGGATACGGTTTTGGCTCAGAAAGTGAGTGAGTGCTCCTATATTCCTTAATGATCCTATAAACACTGGACCGACATACTCCAGAAATATGTGCAACCTTACATATAACTTCGTCCACGACCAAATCGGGTTTTTCTTGAATTTGGTTTTTGTATATATTTAATATTATTTGTTTTTCATTTGCACTTAAATGTAGCTTCTTAGCCCTTTTTTTGGGTGGGGTTGCGCTGATGTCAACCACTTCGTCGGCTGTATCTGTGTCAGACATCGTATCTTAGGCAATATATAAACAAAACGTTCCACTCGCGAAAAACGAGTATACGCTACTGAATGCGTAATGCGTATGCAATGCAATTCTGTGCGTGAATTAACTGTTAGATGCCTGTCGTGTCATCTACAATCACGTTTACAAGTCCAAACCTGTGCAGATTCGTAGAGCGCCGACGACTGCTAGTGACCTTGAATTTGTCTGTAGATCGATGTTACTCCAGTCAATTTAGGTTCAAAGTGGATGTTTTCTAAACCAATTTGTTGTTCCTACATCAAAAATATATCGATGATGTTTTGTACTGGGAGCTCATGAAAGATCAAGGTAACTTATTTTAACAGTCATCCTTTTTCTAGTCTCAAGATGACACGAAAAAGGGTCTGTGGATTCACTAGAAATACACTGCCGAGGATGTTTAGACCTAAAGTGACTGGAGTATATCCGTGGATGCTTTCGAGGGATCTGTCCACGTGCTGATCACTGTTTACGTTTAATGTCTTTCTTCAGCGCCCAGAGTTTAGCTCTTGTTGAATTTTTGTATTCACTTCTAAGGTCCTCGATCACAATTCGAATTCGGTGGATCTCGCACATAAAAACTTAAAATAGAATCTACAAGTGGAACAAATCCACTCAGCTGAGGTCGATCTGTTGGTAATGCAGTGGTGGTAAATAGAGAGAAAAAAATGTCACCTCATTTAAATTGAGTCTTGGTACAAAATAATGTGCAGAACAAACTGAAGTGAGATGAGCGGGTAAAACTGACGCAACTTTAGATAATAATATAATCGTTTTAAAAGTAAAACTTTGTTTTCTATTTATTCGTCAATGTCCGTCAGGGCTCTTGGTTAAAGTATTGTAGGTCCGTCAGGTCTGGTTTCCCAGATACCAGACAAAGTCAGGGGGAAAGAAGAAAGGAAGGGGGAAGAGCAAAGAGAAGTGCGTCCGCTTGAAATTGTTAACTAGTGTTCAGTAATCTTGAATTGATCTAAAATTAATGCGAGGAAAAATTGTAATTTTGGTTGGGCCTAGAATTGCACGATTTAATTTTGTACACAGTGCAAGTCGCGATCTTGTGTGCTTGCGAACTTGCTCGATTGTGTAGTCCTACATAACAGAATGTTGCTGTGCGATTCCGCTTGACTAACTTTGTTTTCAGGGTAAGAACCTTCTGTCTGACAAATCGACTGGCACTCCCACATGCACAGTGAATACAGTACAAGTGTATGGTCAGGAGAAGATACTAATCCTGAGAGATATCAATATCAGGAATGTATCAGACCCACTGTTACCTCATGAAGTTCAATGTGATGTGGCCTGTCTAACCTACGACGTCAACAATCCAAAGTCTTTTGAATACATCGCTAGAATATATATTGTAAGTATAAAGAACTAGAAGTTATAATTCAATCTCTACTATTCAATATTCAACACAATCGGAATTTTTTCCAAAATTAGTTACAGTGTTTCAGGGTGTAAATCAACGTGTTACTTTTTATTACAGAAATATTTTGCTGAAAGCAAAATTCCCGTTTTGATCGTGGCGAGTAAAGATGACTTGGAGGAAGTGAGGCAAGAGTACCTTTTGCAACCGGCAGACTTTTGCCAAAAATACAAAATTTTACCTCCGCAGAAGTTTAGTGTCAAAGGACATCACAAAAGGGACGTTTTTGTGAAGTTGGCGACAATGGCAGCTTTTCCGTAAGTATTTTTTACAACCAAACCTATCCTTTTGGTACTGTTATGGTTTTGGAATAATAAAATGTCATTTAGTTCCGCAAAATATAACATAGAATGCGTATAGCTATACTTAGTTTTTAGGTCATTAAAACTTTGGGCAAACTTAGAGGATAGTCTCTTAGATATTGCTTTGGATCATTTATATAGGTTGTGGTGAAAAAAATACGGTTTGCATGCTGTAAGCGTTCGTAAATGATAACATATTTTTTTAAACGAATAACAATCCACAATTTACTTATATTTGGAGTTATCAGAATAATATGTCAGTAACGTTTATCAAAATAAAACTACAGCGAGGAGTAATAGTACGAAAGCTATTTTCATAAAATTAAACGTGTTAATTGGAAGTTGAAAACTTTAGATTTATATTTAATCATAATAGTTCAATGCTTTAATCCGCATATTTCTCGTTAGTCGTTTTCAAGCAGCATGGATATTGTTTTACAAACACAGGTTAGTGTAAGTAGAGATTGTTTCTGTTGGCACAGCCAAGACCAAGATGAAAAGCTCCTTCAGTTGAAACAAAATCAGGTTTAGAAAATGAGATATTTATTTAACAGTACCTCCATGAAGTCACTTTGCTGCGACTTGTTTTTTGAATGGTTTTCAAGTAAGCTAAAATCCAGGGTGATAAAATTCATGCACCAATAATATATTCTAACGTAAAAGTAACAGCAGACAATTCCAAGGGTGGGCGCGATCTTACATCTTTTAAATTGAATGGGAAAGGGGGGCTACTTGATATTTATCTATTACGGTAGAATAACAGCTAATTATTCAGAAATACTTCAAAATTCCCCATTTCAACAAATGACTCATAATTGTGACAGAGCCGTCAATGCCAGGTAGACGGAGCTCTATTTTGTTTTAGTTTTTTGTACTCTACAGACTCATTTTGTACTTGCTAACAAGTGGTTTACGGGTACTCTCAGAATAGTTCATTTGCACATAGAAAAACGCCACAGTAACGTGAAATGGGGTCAGTAATTTGTAACCTTAGAATATTTTGTTTGTTTGTTTGTTTAAGATTTATTTAGCATGATTGCTACAATTACATTCTTCTAAAAAACTAAACAATTACATAACATACAGACATTCAGAAAAAAAAACAAAATTTCCATCTCTAAAAATTTTTATTGCCCTTGAAATATTCCTTTAATTTTCTTTTAAATATCTTTAAATTACAATTATACTTTATATCATTATTTAGTTTATTAAATTCAAGAAATCCTTTCTGAAATATTGATTTGCTAGTTATATTACTATTACCATTTTGTAAATGAAAATCTATATCTCCTCTTGTAAAGGGTTGTCCAATAGGGACGCAGGAAAGTAAACGTCAATTTGACATAGACGCCATCTTTGTTCTCTGTCACCGACATGTCATTTTGTTAGTTGAATGTTTACCATTGATCGCTATGGAGTCGTATTCGATTGAAGACCGCATTAAAGTTATTTAAGAGCACTACAAAAATGGTGCAAAAATAAAAAACACGTTTCGCGCGCTTCGTGAACATTTCGGTCGCAACAACCGCCCAAACGAAACAACCATCGGTCGTCTGGTGCGTAAATTCGAGGCAGGCAACAGGTTCTGTGGCAAATCTGCCAGGCTCTGGCCGGCCAAGGAGCGTTCGCACACCGGAAAATATTGCTGTTGTGAAGGAGAGTGTGAGAGACGATCCGAAACAATCAACAACGCGTCGATCCCAAGAATTGGTTATTTCGAGATCCAGTTTGCTCCGCATTCTCCACAAGGATTTGAATGTACACGCGTACAAGATCCAATTGACGCAAGAGCTGCGTCGGGCCGACCATTTTTCGCGCCGAACGTTCTCAGATTGGCTCCTTGAACACCGCCAAATTGATGCCAATTTTTCATCAAAAATCATGTTCAGCGACGAAGCGCATTTCACTTTGAATGGGACGGTAAACAAGCAAAACTGCCGCATCTGGGCGAACGAAAATCCCCGTGAGTATCAAGAGCAGCCGATGCATCCTCAAAAAGTGACTGTGTGGTGTGCATTGTGGTCAAAAGGCATCATCGGACCTTACTTTTTCGAAAATGCGGCCGGGACGCCGTTACCGTCAATTCTGAGCGATATCACGTGATGATAGAGGACTATTTTTTGCCGCAACTTGGAGGAATGCATATGGACGATGTTTATTTCTAACAAGACGGTGCAACATGCCACACAACCAACGTCAATATCCATCGATTGCAGTCCTTCTTCGGTGATCGCGTGATTTCGCGCAGAGGAAATGTGTCATGGCCACCAAGATCGTGCGATTTGACTCCCGTGGACTTCTTTTTATGGGGATATTTGAAAAGCAAAGTCTACGTCAACAAACCAGCCACCCTCCAAGAACTCAAAAACAACATCAATGCCGAGATAAATGCCATAGAACCGACCATGTTGCAAAATGTCATTGAAAATTTCGACCATCGCCTGGACGTCTGTAAATCCAGTCGTGGTGAACATTTGAGCGATATTATTTTTCATACATAAATGGTATAAATGAACCTTCAAAATAAAGTACCCAACTTGATTTGAATATCAATCTTTCTTGTTTTAATATGCGTTTACTTTCCTGTGTCCGTTTTGGACAACCCCATATAATAATTGTGGTAATGATTAGTTAATTCTATGTAGTGTTCTAAATTTTCTGCCAAAAGATAATTTTGTATTCTGTCTGCATAAGAAAACTGACATACATTTTCAATCCTTCAATTGTCACTTTTACGGTAGAATATTATTTTCACGCATAATTTTAACACCCAATATCATCTTGCTAACATGACCTGTTCAAAGACAAATACCCTTTTTACATCAAACATTTCTTCGCGAATTCATTCAGGTGGATTTCTTCAAGATTATCCTGATTTATGTTTTGCGTTTTTTACATGACTGGACAAATTCTCAGATTATCTGTTACTACACAGTGCTGCCAATCACACAACAAATTCTTGCTAGAAACCTTTTTGAGTTTTTATGAGGAACTGCATGGATTTATTCTTTTTTTACACTTTTGGTATTTGGCCATGAACTCAAATCATGGATTTATTGTTAATGTAAAGCGGGCATAAGGAGGGGGGGACGACTTTTCGAAAAGCACTGAATCTTGTGTTTATGTTTATGGTATGTACGATTACTGACAGGGTTTTTCATAAAACATTGGCACATAAGCAGCTTTAGATGTATGTCCATTTTTCTTAATTTTTATACAATAGAATTTATGTAAGTAATGTTTAATTATTACACATAATCATGGTCGGTTTTTTTTTGCAGTCCTTTACGCCGAATGGTTCATATGTTACTGTTACGTCCGCAACCCACAGAATGGTTGAACATTTTTTACAGGTTGCTAATATTTTTCATCTATAAGAATGTTTTTCGTTTGTTTATCCTTTTTCTGAAATTAACGTTCTGTTATCTAATCGGCAACCTTACTAATTTTCTATTGCATGCTACTAAAGATACGTTTCCATTGTAACAAGTTGCGACACATGTTTCGCGATATCTGGCGCGTATTTGTCCTCGGCACTTGGCCCGTAGAATGTTGATACTTTTCTAAAACGAATTGGCACTTGTGCTAAGCAAATTTGCTGTGATAGAAACGTACCTTTTTAATAATTACTAACTAAAATACTAATATAGCGGGTGTTTCAAATTCAACTTTCATCATTAGGATCTCGGAAATGGCAAGATATTCTAAGTAGGTAAAAAACGAAACAAAGTTTGGGATTTAGGCAATCAAGAAAATTATGCAGAAAAAGTTTCACAATTCTGGAGGAAAAGAAAGAAACCGTATTTTCCCTAAATCGTTTTTATTTTTTGCTAGCTTCATCTAAAATTGGATTTCAAAATTATACGGAATTCCGATTCGGAATAGCCCAGGAAAATTAAACTTTTCTTCGTTTAAAAATTGTATCTGGAATAGGAATAGGAATTTCGTACGTTTACCGTCGCACTAACATTGCTACTTTTTCACATCCACAAGATGGCATCATCCGAATTTCAGTATGACGGTTCGTCTCTTGTCTTCAGTCGTCAACTTTATTGACTCTTATAGATGCTATATTGAATTTTTTAGTTTTTAATTCTGGTTCCAAAAAGGTATAATGTGTCATACACGTCATATTGAAATTCTAATGATACCACCTTGAAGATGAGAAAAACCGTGAAGACTAATGTACTTACTTGAAATCCCGTCTCAAATAAAGTTCGCCCTCATTTAAACGACTTCGTATCTCTCACCGTTTCCGTGCTCCCAATGGTGTCAAATTTGAAACACCCGCTATATTGGTGTAGGGTTTTGGTATCAGGGTATATGAGTGCTAGCGGTAAACTAGCGTGCTAGTTTTTATTTCTTAATTTTGTTAATATACAACTTCTAAGCAACTGGCAACCTCGGTTTGAAGTTGTGGAAAATGTCTCCAAGTATCTACTTGCTAGTAAGAATGCGGAATATATAGTCGAAATCACGAAAGATGACGATTACGTCATCATTTTAATCTGTAGTAAAGAGTAACGACAGCGATTTGTGAATATTTTTAATGTTTTCATGTTGCATGATCGATCATATTTGAAAGATGAATAGTTAGGTTATGTTAAAGCAGGTTAAATTGTTTTCGAATAAAACTTTGGTCTTTGGTGTTCCTGTCTTAAGGTATTCTATATATCACTGTTTTTTTATCAAAACAAAAACTTCCCACTAAAATTATTATTAAGGTATCACTCAAAACCATGGAATAAAATGAAAATAAAAATAATCAGTAAAATAACCTAACTTCGCAAAATCATAACATAAATTGGTTGTCATTACGTTCCAGACATCGTGATTTTATCATCGACGTACATTCATTGATTACTTCAGTACAATTTATGGTATGACGTAATAGTAATCTTTCGTGATTTTGACTATACGGAGACATCCAAATATCACTGTCGAGGTAATGTTTATGAGAGAGACGCGCGTGCAATACGTATGCTAGAAAGAGACTCGGGTTGCCACGCAACGCGGTGCTTCTATCTCTTTCTAACACAGGTTTTGTCCGCTTTTCGTGCTTCTCTCTCGCACACATTACGATATTAGTGGTATCGGGTTTTCCAATAGGGACTTGACAACTTTGAACTTTTACTGTGAACGCTACTTTAAATCAATTACCCAACTATCGATGTCAAAACATTCGGTAAAGAAAACATTTTCATCATATTGAAGTACCCGAACGAACAACACTTATAATATAAATAATTAATTTACTACCGAAATTCCGAGTCTGTGACTGCAAGTTTGAGAGGGTTAACGCCAATCTTTGGTCGTAATTCTCGCCCCAGTAGACAAGCAATTCATAGACTAGTAAAAAAAAAAATTGAGTCCAGAATCCGCTGCTGCATTTTCCCGTGCCAGTGAGAAAACGGGTTGGTCGAAGTGCCGAGAATATTGCTGCCGTTCAAGCGAACGAACAGAACACGTCGATTCCTCGGCGTTCTCAAGAATTGGGCATCGCTCAGACCGCAAACGGCTTCGTCAACAAACAGAATATGCGTTATTGATCAGGTGAAAACCTTCATGTGCTTCAAGAAACACCCCTTTATCTACAAAAATAACTGTATGGTGTGGTTTTCATACCGGTGGTGTCATTGGGCCGTTTTTTTTTCGGTGATGAAAATGACCGTCACGTTACAGTTACAGTCATCGGAGGTCGCTACAGAGACATGTTGCAACGTTATTTTTTGGTCAATTGGATGGGCTAGACATTAATGGTACGTGCTCTCAACAAGCTACACAGCGGGTGAAACAATCGACATATTGAAATCAAAATTCGGTGAACGTGTTATATCGAGAAATGGCCGTCGAATGGCCGCCTAGATCGTATGATTTAACGCCTCTAGGCTTTTTTTTGTATGGCTACATTAAATCATTGCTCTTTCCAACAACCTGGCGTCGTTAGAGATATCTCAATTGGTAAAAAGAAAGTTGTCAAGTCGTTAATGGAAAACCCTTTATCGCTAGACTGAATTATAACTAACACTACTTCAGCGAGATCTTAAAACTTCGGAATTTACTTTCTCAAGATTCGAATTTTAAGGATCAATCGTGAAATAAGTTTTGGTGTAGTGTGTATTGCATGGCTTTTTGTGTGTTTTGAACTATTTCTTAGACGAAAATATTAAGGTCGGTTTGATTTTCAGAAATTTCCGAGACTTCGGCGTGATTGTCAACGACACGACAGTGTGGTGGAAAGCGGGCCTTAGTCTCGCTGCAGTCACTGCTTTCGGTCTCCTGGTTGCTAAAGTACTTCACACGGATAAAATACGATGAACGAATATTGTACAAATAAATGATTAAGTTCGTAGTGATTTGATTTCGTTTGTATTTATGTAGTTATTTGTATTTTTGCTTTTGTTCTAAACGTATCAGTATTTTATCCTGTATGATTCTTCCGAATGAATAGCAATTTGTATAAAAATATTAAGCTTGACGAATTTCTTTTATCTGGTATGCCAATTTAAACTTGACTTATGTCCTTTCGTAAAAAAGACTCCTGAAGTTGTATTTAGCAGGTGGTTGTATATGTTATTTTGTGATATCAGGTCCGTTAGCAACTTGATGAAAAATACGCAAAAAAAAATCGTGCAATCACGAGTAAACGGTTGATGCCAAGTTCTGCCATGATGTCAATCAAAGCTTTTCTAAAGACCTCCATACACGTGCGAACATATTGAGCGAACTTGGTGTGCAAACAGTTCGACCATCTATGGAGCTGTTAATTTGTGCAAACACAGCTTGTTTGAGTGTTTGTTTGACGGTTTGTGCAAACTTTGGGCTAGTCAACTCCTGCTGCTCTCTATTCCGTGGTTGCAAACGAAGTTTCGGTAATTTCAGCTCTTCAAAGGAGACACCGCTTACAAGGTATCTTAAAGTGGCCAACAATCTCAGTTCTGGAGATATTGCGTCTCATGACCGTGTTGTTTTTCACTATGAGCGGTGTCACCATTTCGAGTAGCTCGCTGAACGAAGCTGCGTCCTTTCGAAGATAGTTTTTGTAGTCCGCAGCTGACGTTATTTTGAGCTCTGTGACCCGGCAGTTATGACTGAATTCGCTCCTCTTCTGGAGCCAACTCTTTACCCACACTATTTGCTTTCTTTAACTTTTAACCTTTTAACACCACAAAACGATATGATGCGCAACAGGTTGCTACGTGTATCTGCTAGCGTTTGTACAAACACCGAGTTTGTCCAAATTGTTCGCACGTGTATGGGGGGCTTAAGAGAAAATAACAGGTTATGAATACATTGATCATGTTTACACAGTAGATAGTCAAGAGCTTCGATAGCCATAGAGCACCATACTTCTGTGCGTAAATGTTGTTCTGTGCCTGTTAACACTGTGTGCTATATGTGGCTAGGAGCCTTACAGGATGTTTCCTAATTGAAGGTCAATATTCGAGGCGGCGATTTTTCAGTCCATGAAAACTTGTATTTCTTGACTTTTGAGATACAGTGTAGTGGAGTCTTAAAAAAAAAATAATATTTGCAATTCCTCTTTAGATATTTTGGCATACATGTACTATGTATGAAGAGACGTATTTATTTACATTTGCCTATTTTGGCAAAGCGTTGATGGTACGCCACTGATTTCTCTTAAAATAAAAATAGTTCTGGAAGTCTCGAAATTTCGTTAGTAAGACAGTATCGCTATGTAAAGAAATGGCTGTTCTTTTTTGGATGCGTCAGACTAAAAAAATATTCAAATATTTTTGTAAAGTCACTGGCACGTCACTTCATTCAGGACTATGTTAATTGGGTAGACACTGGTGGCAAATTAAAAAAATATATAGTAAATTAAAAATGCCTCGCGGCACGTAGTAGTACGTGTATGCCAAACTTCTTTAAAATATAGAAAGTGGTATTTACAGATATTAATAATAAACTATTTAATTTTTCGATTACTTCACCACCAGGCATCTCGAAAGTTCATATAAAGTTTTCCAGATTCAAAAATCGCTCCCTTAACTATTTACGTACAATTAGAAGTATAATTGCTTGGCTACCTATGGTGTAAACATAGCCCTGTTAAATATTGATGTCACCAATTTTTGGAGTGATAACAGTATCAAAGAATGTGTAGGATCAACAAATCGGAAATTAGCAGTCTAAAAAAATGGAATTCCAGTGATTAGAATAGAAGACTGTAAATATAGCAATTAACCCTAGTCCAGAATTTGGGATGTCAATATATCCAGTTCAACAAACCCTTGTTTAATAAAAAGTAACAAAAATGCAAGCATTTAAACAAGGATGATGCACTATGTTGAGTTTTCCATTGGTATTAATAATTTCTTTTTTTGTGACTATTGTAACCACACCAAATTCGAGTCCGAATTGGCGTTATTTCATGTACATTTTTTTCCATCCGTAAAGTCGGTATTTGCGGCTCATCCTGTAGTAGTCGATTATTTGCATATATTGTATTTCAACCACTTCACCTCGTTTGTTTTGTATTTTTGAACGTATACAAGGGTTTGAAGAAAAAATACAATCAGATATCATACCGATTCTAATATATTGACATGTAATGTGGATCAAAAGCTAACATATATATTTTATAGAATTTGTAGTCTAGTCGTTCCATGAAATATACGCAGCCTTTTTGTAATATTTCAACAACTGCTCTGCTGTATTTTTGTTTTGATGGACTGAAAAATGTTCATGAAGTTTGTAAAATATTATTTCTGATGATTATTAAATGATTTTTCTTCACTAATGCGATTTGTTTTACTGAGAAATACAAACATGGTATCTCCTACTTGAATGTCAATATTTATTTGAGCGATTTGCGGGTTCATTTAAAAAAGTCCTAAATGTGTTAACTGTTGAGATACAGGGTGAAAGGAAAGTCGCATGACACTGACTTCTTAAAATAAAAAAAAATAAATCTGTAGTAATTTGCTGATCAGCTGTTCACCTCAGTAGATGTCAAAGTGTCATGGATACTCGTGAAATAGAATATATATTAAGCTTTTTTTCGGGTAGTCCACGGTGTAGAATAGGAGAAGACGGATGTGGCGTCATCTAAATGTCAAAAAATCACGTGGTACGGGTTACCGCTTAACGTCTGTGAGGTACTAGCGGGTGACAAGTCTTATGTCAATGTCATTTAAAAAACAGACATGTCAATTGAAAATTTGTCTTCGCAGTGCCGAAAAATGAGTTAAATTAGTAAATCATAAATGGAGAAACACGTCCACCTGATTTTAAATGACGAAGAAGGTCATCGAAGATATAGGAACCGCATTTGTCAAGCGATACAAAATGTAAATAACAGCTTTTTTTAGTTTTTTGGTAAACATTGCTACGCCTCAAATTTTATATATATATATATATATATATATATATATATCTCCATTGGTATCCCTCAATGTTTTATTCAAAGCTTCTTTTTTGATTAACATTCTAGCAACACAGCAGAGGTAGCAAAATTGTTCGATGAGCTGGCAATGCAGCAATTTAGGTGACAAGAATGACAACGTCAACTGCTATAACGTATTTCTATCCCGGAGTAACGACGGAGTCATATAGTACGTCAAAGCGACAGCTTTGCAATCTTCATTTGTATTTTTTAAGCGATGTGCAACGATTTCGAGAAAAATTTTGCTACGGATAGCCGTCTAGAGTCTTGTAGAGTATATTTCAATATTTGTCTTGCGTGGCCATGTTATCCTCACTCGGGCCAATTCAGATTCTAACGAATAACCAAAATTTCTGTGTTATGTGCCGCGGTTATAATATGGTTCAAGATGACACACGGGTTGATGACGTCAGTTACACGAAACGCTTGAATGCGTTGGTTTAACCGCGGTTTTGTTGCAAGTTGTTTATTTTATAAAAGCGCGTATATAATCTCTGATTATTTTTATTATCACTTAATAATCGGGGCTTTTTCGTCTACAACGATGTATGGAAATTTTAAATAAGAAACCTTTCATAATATTCATGGGAGAAATGTTTTTTTTTCAGAAAAAAATGTTTAGTAGCTATGGTAACTATCAATTCTCTAAAGTTTTCCGCATGTCAAAGAAAACATTTATTGATTTAGCAGAAATGATGAAAAAGCGATAAAAAGAAGATATTAGGAAAACCGTATACAGGTGGACATCATCCAGTGAGTTTATATGGCCATATTTTAATATTCTTGTGGTATATGGCTACACAGGATTCTTTGTTAAGCATAGGAACCAGATTTGAAAAGTTCCTGTTGTACTGTTGTAACTAAATACTCGTTACAACAGTAAAACTAATAAGGTGCTCCACTTTATGCTAAAACACTACAGTCAGCCTGTAACAAGTCTCCCAAAAATGAAGCTGAAGCACAATAACAATATCCAAAACCCGGCAAAATTCTAACTTGTCACATTCCAAATAATAACCAGAAATATAAATATAAAACTACTCATGAGTTGGGTAAATACACCACAATTTTGCGCTGATAACCATGACATATAACAGCTGATTCATGACGTCACGGATCTTATAACCAAACTCGCTTGAACGGATCGGTAAATACCAACCCAAAATGGTAGATACCATTTTCATTTGGTTATCCGCTTGAATTGGATTTAAGTTTATCAAGGATTTTTCCGCAACATGCGCCATCTTACTAATCCCGGTGCAACTGGAAACTGTCAAGACTTCGAGAGGAAGGGGAAATTATATCTGTTCCCGCACCTGTTCACAACGGAATCTCGGGAAAAAGTCCCTATTGTCCCTCCTTATTGTTTCCTTGCAATGACAATTTACTCCAGGGTGAAACATGGCAGACATCTATTAAAACGTTTCACCGTCTACACACGTCTCATATTTATTCAGAGAACATAGAACTTCACCATAGACATCCTAAAATTCCTAAATGTCAATTGTCATTGTCAAGTCAGAAGTCACATACTTGAGAGACCCCTTTCGGCGAAAATTTTGACTTAATTCCTTTTCAATGGTGTTTTTGTGAACGTGAACCGTTTTCGGACACTAAAAATAAATCGCAGGTAATTTAGAAAATCCGCAAATATTCGTTATCAAATGCATTATATTTTAATTGAAGAAATGTCGAATTTTCATCTGATGTCCATATATTTGGCGAATATCCGGTTCAGTATTAGAAATCAGCTGAAGAAGTTACCGATGTTTCTGTGGTTGACACCGTATTTTATATTCAAAGTACGCTTTTACTCAGTAAATAATTATCTGTGTATCACTGAAACTATGCCCTGTTTCAAGGGAATAGTGTGTTTAAATAGTATATTCCAATTTTGCAGTGTTTGAAAGAATCAATAACATAACCTAACATCATAAACTTTGGTTTTCGGCCTCCCCCATTTTTGTCTAGTATGTACTTGTTTTATTTAATCTAGATCACAAAATCATCATTAAACAAATGTCCCTATAAAGTGCAATGGTTTGCTGTTAACTAATGTTTGTTTTTATCTGTTTTAGCCACCATGGTGCGTATGAATGTATTGAGTGATGCTTTGAAGTCGATAAACAATGCTGAAAAACGTGGCAAGAGACAGGTGCTCATCAGGCCATGCTCAAAGGTTATTGTGAAATTTCTGACTGTAATGATGAAACATGGATACATTGGTGAATTTGAAATTGTCGATGACCATAGGAGTGGAAAGATAGTTGTTAATTTGACTGGTAGATTAAACAAATGCGGAGTAATCTCCCCTAGGTTTGATGTACCTATCACACACATTGAGAAATGGACAAATAATCTGCTACCTTCACGTCAGTTTGGGTAAGTCACATTTTGTTAGTTTATGAATTTAGTGAGCAAAGTAAATGTGACTTTATTGGGTATTTTCAACATTTAGGGATGTGAGCACCAACCAAGAGAATTCAAAACTCAGTATGTTGCTGAAAATTTATGTGGCAATTTCACTAGTTATATGTTCAAAGCATGAAATAATATTCTTGTTGCTGCACCTAGACATTTGTATAAGGAAACAATTTCAACATATATTGTTTTCAGCAAATTTTTTTTTTGAATTCTGGTTAATCCTTTCCACCCAGTGTTTTAGGCAGCTTTTGGTACTGTACATAAAAAGATGAAGTGCCACAGTATTATACATACATTTGAGTTTATAATGCTACAATATTCTTGAGCTCTTGTTTGCATTGAAAATCATTCAATACTTTTTCACAATAAACTTTGCCCAGTAATTATGACATTTTTGAGCTCTGAAAATCATGCGCACTGATCATATCTAGTTTTGAAGAATAGCCTCTATATCTATATACATCATAACAAAAGTTTAATGCATGTAGAGAAATTATTTTCTTTGTGATTTTATTAAGCATTGTGCCTATACCCTGTGATATTTGAGAGGCTGAGGATTTTTATTCCCTGTTTCTTGATGCACGCAGGGAAATCATAGCAAGAAGACCCGTGCTGACATAGGCATTAGCGTCCACTATAACAATTTCATGTTGTTATCTGGATGTTAACATCTATCCTCAGCTCCGTTTCTTCTAGAACAGACCTTTTTAGACTTGAAACATTTTCCTTCCAACAATTAAACAATTATTGTGTATTTTCTAATCAAAATTAATATTTTTTACAGATATGTTGTGTTAACTACAAGCGGAGGCATTATGGACCATGAAGAAGCTAGGAGGAAACATTTGGGAGGGAAAATCTTAGGATTCTTCTTCTAATGTAGAGTTATTTAATAAAGTTTATAAGAAACATCTTTTGCTTTAGTTTTTTTTGGACATGCCACAGCATTTAATTTTAATTCCACAAAGGCTGCCATGTATACCCTATTTCAGGAGTAACCATTTTGTCTACAGATGTGAACAGCTGATCATTAAGTGACACTTTGTGTTAGTCTGCAATGTTTGCTATAATGAATGAGGTGTAAATCTAGCACAAATTTGTTTGCAGCTTTTTGTTTTTTGTATGTGAATGAACTGTTCTAAATAAAAGAGCTTTTAGCAAGTACAAAATGAATCTGTAGCCTACAAAATATGGCTACATGTCGTTAATGGATCCCTCAGAATTGTATCCTTTGCCTATATGGGGAATTTTGAAATATCACTAGATAACCAGCTGTCATTCTACCCTGATAGATACTCTTAAAATAGGGTGTATTACCAAGGGTGGACTTTGACCTTTGGTATCTACTTTTGTTCTGAAATAGAGGATACATTTTCATAAGCTTGATATCCTAGCTGGTTTTGAAATCCCTTTTATTAAAACTGTATTAATGCGTACTCAGATGGGGCTTTAGCTAGTCATCAAAATTTTGAGATTCTTTAGAATTTTTTCTCAGCATATATGTATCTGACCAGAATCAAAACACTTCTTGCGTAGATTACAAATCCGTCAATTATGATTAGATTATATACAAATCTCATTTTTGATGACAATCACTTCCATGTAATGTTCAACTTTGCATGCTGATAGTGAATAAAAAATGCCTGAGCACGCAGTGACAAGAACATAAAGGCAGCAATTTAGTGATCATGTTTGTTTTTGACACAGGGTAAATGAGGTGTTAATTCCTTATACCAGGGCTGTCCAACTTAATGTGGACCAAGGGCCACTTAAAAAAAAAATGCAGTTTGGAGGGCCGCATTATAAAATCTTTCTATACAACATTATTACTGAGTTTTAATAGGTATATATACTAAGTGACATATAAATCCGAACACCCAGTTTAAATAGTTTTATTTTAATAAAAGTTGGTGAATGTATTTATCTTAGTGTAAATAACAAGTGAACAAATTTTCAGCCTTATCAGTTGGACATTCCGGTTTTTATACTGTTTTTTTTTTAATTCACTAACGCTCTAAAAATGAATATTTCAGCTGCAGTAAAGAATCAACGTTGGCGGATTTTGGTCTTGACATCCTTTACGATCGGTTACGATGCCTAATTTACGGAGACCTGTACGATTTCGTCAACTTAGTGAGTTTGATAGGGGCCGTATAGTGGGACTTCGGGAAGCTGGACTTTCTTTTCGGGCAATTGCAGTTAGAGTGCAAAGAAGTGTAGACACTGTGGTTAGGTGTTGTCAGGCATGGCTTCGAGAACGCCGTACGCAAAGAGCAAGGGGCACTGGATGCCGCCGTAGAACAACAGACCGTGAAGATCGCCGCCTAAGATTATTGGCCTTAAGGGACCATTTCTCCACTACCAGGTCCATTGCAAATGAATGGTTTGCAGAACACGGAAGACCTATTGGCATGCGAAGTGTTTACCGACGAATGAGAAGTTTTGGCTTGTTTTCATACCGGCCACACTGGGTCCTCCCTTTAACTCGAAAACACCGACGTAATCGCCTTGAGTGGTGCAGACATCGGTCACTCTGGGATCAGTAATGGAACAGTATTGGTCGTGCCAGGGTTAGAAGGCGACGTGGTGAAAGGAGGAATCCACAGTTTTTTGTTGAAAGACATGTTCATCACACTGTTGGAGTTATGGTTTGGGGTGCTATAACTTATGGTTCCAGGTCACCTTTAATCTTCATCAGAGGTAACATGAACGCGCGTTATATCCATGAAGTTCTAGAACCCCATCTTTTACCCTATCTTGACACGCTGGCAGATCCAACTTTCCCACAAGATAATTCCCGACCACATGTTGCAAGAGTCACAATAGACTTCTTTCTACATAATGATGTCACATTGTTACCATGGCCACCAAGATCTCGCGACTTATCCCCAATTGAGCACGTGTGGGATATGATGGGTAGGAGATTGCTCAATTTGCAACGTCCTCCTCAGACTCTAGAAGCACTTCGAGAGGAATTGGTGGTTGCCTGGAATGAGATACCACAGGAGGACATTGACCACCTGATCAGAAGCATGCCTAGGCGCGTTGGAGAATGCGTAGCACATCAGGGTGCATCCATACATTATTAAAGGTCAAAGGGCTTTAAAGCAGTGCAATCATTTCGAAATTTTTATCATTTACTTATTATGCTTCATTAAGTACTTATACAAAATTTTATTAAAATAAAACCATTTAAACTGAGTGTTCGGATTTATATGTCACTTAGTATACTATATGGTATACATATATGTATACATGACCCGTGAAACGGGCCGCAGGAAAGGGCCGTGTGTTGGACAGCCCTGCCTTATATCATGTGGTTATCCTAAGGAACTTATTTTCGACTCAGTGACTAAAAAAATGTTTAGCCACATTGAAGGTATATATATAATTTGATGCTAATGACCCAAGGAGGAGGGTACCAAATCAATGCATAACAGTTTATGAAAATTGGCGTTTTGCACCGCATACACGTTTTCTATCTTGAGCTCGTTTTCTATGCGTAGATGTGCATCATTTGTCGCTAGGCACTATGTTTGATCACAAACAAACAGTATTCAATTTTCTTGACTTCCTACCAACTTAATTAACGCTGAACCAATCGTCCCGAGTCCGTTCCTGTGCCGGCGCCAAGGATTTCGCAGCGAGTTCAACACCTGTCCGCCAGATGGCGCCGGAGCCACTGAAATATTTCATTGGACATTCGCCTCTGTCACCTGCGCTGCTGCGCATGCCTGAAAACTTTTGTAACTGAAAACATGCACTTGCATTTGCGACGTGTGTCGTTCGGCGCGGCGTCTGTTGTGGTAATCCGCGTGATGTTTACGGAAAATTCGCGGTTTTCGACGGTTTCCCAAGCTTTTCAAATATGAACACTTGTAGCCAGACGACCAGCCTGCTGCCCCGCAACAAAATATGATTGACAAAATCGCGACAGGCCACGGAGAGCGAGACTTTGAGGCGAGTTTCGCGTCATCCACAGGTGTTTAGACGCATCCCGGGAACTTCAAGAAAAGTTTTTCGCTAGTTTTCGTGTGCGAATTCGCTGAAAATGGTGTTCGTGAGCTGTGCAGTTCGATGTTTGAGTGTAAAATCGTATATCGGATAGTTTTGAAGTGATTTTGTACCCGTATAAACACCAACATGGTTAGAAACACACAAAGAATCACCTGCGAGCGCCGGAAGTCCCACGGTTTCTTCTTGGATAAAATTGCTCTGCTGTGTCTGATGAGTCTTTTCCCTTCGACGATAACAGGTCAGTCTCATGTTTCTATTTTGTTTAAGGTGTATACGACGATGTATATTTAAAACTTTTATTCAGGCGAATAACTGTATATAACCGGAATGTTACCTTGAGAAAACTGTGTTGTGCCTTTACATTGCATAAGAAACATTGAGAGACATGAGATAGAAAGGTAAATGTATTGATTAATCATTGTCTCACTTAAATGATCATATTGTGTTCTCTATTTAAATAGACATTTACTTATACTATCTACTTATAGGTACCTGAAAAATCATACTACCTAGGTGCCTGTATTTTTTAAGATTATTTACCTCGATCGGAAATCTGTTCAATTCAATCCGACTCCTCACGTAAACATTCCAAAATGCATTGATTAAATCATAAAATTAAAAAAATACATTCTACAATTACTTTTCTCATTTCTGACAGAAGTGCGAAAATCACGATTCGGAACCGGAGAAACGATTCCAAATTACATTTTGCACAAACATCTGGATATTTTTTCAGTGTGTCCAGAAATGATTTGGAACTTGTCCGCACATATAATAGGATTTTTCATTATCTTTTGCTTCTGACCAACTGAAATTTACTTTCACAGTGAAAAATGTAACATTTCATTCATGGCCTCGTTTATAACGTCCCGTCATATTTATCAACACATTTCATTAAAATCGGTGAAGCCGTTACTGATTGTCAGATAACGCTTACGCTATGGGTTCTAATAATCCGAAATATAAAGTTTCCTTAATGAACATGCTTTTCTCGCTCATTTCTCTCTATTTAAATAACAATTTGAGATCTTAGTTAAGTCAGGTATAAAAGGAAGATGCTTGTGTTTTTGAGCTACTCAGTTCCTTTAATTTACCAATAGGATCAGGTCAACATAATTTATTTTAATGAATCTGAAAGACAATTTAAGAATAATTGGTGACAAAATATGTTATCATATAAAGACGTGATATTTGGTATGAACGGCTTCTTTCATATAGCGCCTAATTAGTGCTTGATAAAAAAATCGAAAACAAAAACGAACATTATAAAATATAACAAAAAGGTTTAATGTCAAATTAAACAAACTGAAAAAAGTCTAGCTTTCTGATTCATCACTCAAACTTTGAGAAAATTAAGTTTTATTTTATATATATGGATGAATATACAGTATTTGGTTTTTCAGTGTCAACTAGGAAAAATAGCTTATTTTGGAGGAGATGTATGGACAGTAGGAAACGTACAGTGATAGTGTTTTTGGATTTCAAAAGGGCGTTTGAAACTATTGGCAAGGATAAATTACTTACAAAATTCCATCAATATGGACTTAAAGGATCTGTATTGAACATTTTACAAAACTATTCAATTGTCAGAAGTCAGAAGAATAAAATTGGATCTATGTTATCCAGCTCAAAAAATATTTCTCTTGGTGTGTACTAAAATTGAATGCTTATAAAACAAAATGTATGGTAATAGGGAAATACATAATTGCAAAATGTGCGGCAACATTTTTAGCAAAATCTTTATTATTGCATGGAGAGTCATGGTGGCTATTTTCAACATTTACTTGCCTAACGGGTCAGTTCATTCTTCATTTTTAAATTACTTTGCTGCCAAATGTATTGATCTCCACTAATGGTGATGTATTAGTTTTATTTAAGCTTTAAATCAATAAATCTTCAAAACTACTGAACTGAAGCTCATGTATTTTGCATCATTATAAAGGTAATTGAAAGACCTTTAAAATAAGATATCACTCGACCCCCGTTTCCATTTAAGATTTTAGGGTTGGTGTCACCCCCGCCCAGGGGGCTGCACGTGTGAACATGATTTTTTGCCAAACTTGTGTCCCCCTCGAAAACAAATTCGATGGGTCTGAGCGTTTTTCCAAAAAAATACTGATCTGCCAGTAAATGCGT